TAAATTTAATTGGATTAAATATTATTGATTAAATAAAAATAAATATATATTTTCATAATATTTTTTGCAAATTACAAGTTACGAACAAGCTAAGAAATTATACAAATTATTTTTCATTTGGATTTTGAAAATTTTCAATTTTCAAAAAATTTTTTAAAAAATTTCGATATTCATAAAAAACTAAAACTTGTTGAAAATCCAATACAATTAATTTTGATTTAAATTTCTTTTTGATTTTGTTGAAATATTAATTTAATTAATGTAATTATTTATTTTTTGTTGCTCTTTCATAAACAAAATTTTAACTAATGCTTGCATATAAGAATATTAAAAAATATATATATATTTCAATATATTTTAGTTGTTTTGCATCAAATTAAAATATTTTATTTCTAGAATTATTCCTAATGCATAAATTTTTGATGATAATATAATTGAACTATAATAATTTTAATAACTTTTTATCATCTTGTATATGAATCAAAATTAGTATCGTTGATAATTATGGGAATAACTAATTGCAAGATTTTGGTTAAGAACTCATTAAATATTGTAATGTCAAATAGTATTTTTTTATTAGATATGATAAATATAATCAGCGATGTTATAAATAATCCGCAATTATTATTTTTTGTTATTCTTATTTTTATTTTTTTCAAGATCATATACAAATCCTGAAATATAGAATGACATCATTGTATATTTAAGTAGATATCCTTACTCATTTGATTTTCGAGAAACCGAATAGGAACAAAAAGAATCATACGATAATTCACACGTGTTTGGTGATGATATATGAATGTTAATCGTATATTCAAAGGCAATATTACTCGTGTACCTAACAAATAAATTCATTTCGTTTGGCTAGTCTAATAGCGTAATGAAATCGCGCGTCTAGTTTATCGTATATCAAGGTTAAATATGTTTCATAACCAGTACAGTGATAAAAAATATATAAATTCGAGAATTTCAATTCTTGTCAATTGAATCGATGAATATTTTTCTTCAAGAAGAATTAAAAAATGAAAATAAAGATGTTGATCAATATTGAAAATAATAATTGAATAAACGCGAAATCATTGGATGTTGTTATTATACTTATTGATAAAAGTTAAGAAATATAAAAAAATTCGCCAAGGATTATCTTTTAAAATCAATTGATTGAAATTAAAAAAAAAGTAAAAATTAAAAATATGAAAAGATAATCAATATATTATTACATAATATTTGTAAGGTATTTATTAATTAATCTACAAGATCTTGTCCCTATTCTTGACAATATTTTCGTTAATTCGATTTCATTGTTAAAAAAAATGAATTTCCAATTAATTTAATATAATCTAATAAATGCGAATTTAGATTCAAATTTAGAAATTGCTATTTAATTACATTCATATTTTATTAATATAAAATTATTATTAATTTAATTAATTTAGAAGATTTAAAATTTTAATTTTTAAAATTAAAATTTTAAAAATTTTAAAAATTTTAATTAATTTGGAAGAATTTTTTGTCATGTTAAAAAGATCATTTTATTTAAATTTTTTCATTTTTAATTATAGTAGTATATGAATTTATACAATATAACAATACATTAATTTATCTATTTGTTTCAAGAAAGAATTAAAAAGTCTCATTGGAATTTGTTAAACATTTAAGTGAAATTATTAAATAGTCGAGAATTCTATGAATAAGAATAAATTATTTATTCTAAAATAATTTCAAATGTAACATACAGCATTCTACTAGATAACAATTTGATTTTAAGGATTTGAAACATATAAAATTTAGTAATAATAATATGATAATTTGATTGTTTTTCTTATAATCATTCTCACTAAAAATAAAAGAAACTATACGAATAAATTCGTATATCATGATATTTTATAAAATTCATACATTGAAATAAAAAAAAAATATATATATAGTAAATATATAGTATATAAAATACATTAGAATTAATATATTGTGTTTCAAAATCATATTGAAAAAATATCAGTAAATAATAAAAACATTATTTCAATAATAATGTCACAAAATATTTTTAAATTTTAAAAATTAATTATCACAACATTCTCTTTGAGAATCGTGAATGTAATAGAACAAATATTTATGTAAAATCATAGTTTGATAAATATAAAAAATGAAAAAAATTTTTTTTGAAATATTATATTTTTTGTAATACTTACTAATTATACTTTAGATTTTATATATCTGCATATTATGAGCATTTTATACATTTTTATATGTTCAAATTTATACGTTTTTATACGTTCAAATTTTGTACAAAATACATAAACATTTATAATCAAGTAGTCAAATCAATTCTTAGATTTGAATCTAATTTGTGGAATGTCGAATATTAGGAAATCATTTTTTTTATCAATACATCGAAATTAATATAATAAAAAAATAAAAAAGAACATGAAAATATCATCAAAAGCACAAACTGAATCTTGCATTCGATAATTACTTGAATAAATGTCATACGAATAAATCATGAAATCTAAGTTATTCAACATCTTAGTCACATAAAAATTATCGATATTTATACATTGTTTTTTTTTTCTTTTTAAAAATAATTATATAATCTGATTATGAAAATATCTTTCTAAATTTTCCTTCTAGATATTTTATATTGTTTCTTTAAGTTGATATTACTTTTGGTCTTCATAAAAATTATATTCGAAAAAATTGATAATGCCTGTTATATTCTTATGCTATTTTTTAATTCCAAGCTATTGATTTCAAAAGATAAAAAGTATAAAAAAATTCGTCAATAATTGCTTTTTAAATTCATACATCGAGAAATGTACGTATGCACTAGGTATAGATATATTTAAGCGGAAACCGATGATACGTAAACGCGAGCTACAATGCGTGCCGCGCATTCTTGAACGGTGAAAGGAAAGGAAGGAGAAGTTGCTACGCCATGATGTGACGCGCCATGCGTCGATATAGGTATCGATAGATAGTGATTCTCCGATAGAAAACCTCGAAACGAATTAGTACGTGTCTACAGTTATAATATTTAAATGAATAAAAACATAAACGTATGTATCTCGTATAAGAAACTCTGATACAGAAAAAATATGCAGATTTCTATAATAGAATAAATATCGAGAATATTTTATCGTTATCGAATTTGTGATGTAAATGTGTTTTTTTTATATAAAAAAGAATATTGAAACACGTGTCACCGTTGTATATTTAATGCAAACCATCGAATAAACATCTGACACCTCTGTAAATCGAATGTTTTTCCGATGAACAAAAGTGATGTGTTTCAAAAGAGCATTGATGAAAACAAAAGAATGTTTCACCGCTACTAGATACCTACGAGAATTTATTATTTTGTCACAAAGGAAGCAATTGTCGCAGTTGGAGGTTACGTATGACTATTTTTCTATATTTTAACATTTTATTTTTTTTTTCAAACCATTAATGTTGAATATAAGAGCATAATTTTAAAGTACATGCTCGAATGGATGATAGAACTTGATTCAATGATCTCATTTGAACCATTTTGCCATGTTTTTTATTTACTGTAATCAATATTTTGTGAATCGAATATTTGACGAGAAATTACATAATATATGCTAGGATCAATTATATAATATTGACAGGAATTAATAATTTGCGGGAATCCTCCAAACTTATAAAGTTTTTTCGTCGGAACTTCCTTTGCGTTCTTCTCAAAAAAAGATCGCTGCAGCACTCATTTTTATCTCTGTGTCTTCGATCGCCAAAGTCGACTTCGAAAGACTTATTTGTAATAGCTCAATGTATGCCGTGTGGAATCGTTGGTTGTGTAATTGCTTATGTTCTCGGAATCTTCTTATTTGACAAGACAAATAATTACATCGGTAATTTATAAAGATATTACAATATAGTTATATATATATATATATATACACACACCCATATATATAAAACCACATTGTAATATTATATATATATGATTGAGTCAAAAAGAATCGTTATGAAAAATATGATTCATTCGATTCGCGAGAAACATATATATTTATATCTTATATGTTTATATACATATATATATAATGTAATATATATATTACATATATTGACATATATATATATATATGTATGTATATATCCTGATGAGACCAAATTTTATAACAAAGATTTGAAATATTGTTCGCGCAGCTGATGCTCGCGTGAGACTCAAGGTCTAGGGGGAAGGATTTTTCCGTGAGACGACGTTCTCTTACCTGAAATTTGACGCGCAGCCTGGAATGTCGCCTACCATAGCTGTTTCTGCTCGAATGTTGCTCGAAAGATGTTGGGAGGGGAGGCTGAGATCTTCTCGCGGTTGGATCGTTCACATTATTCGTCTTGTTCCTCACGATGGCCAGGTTATTTACATTTTGATTTCCGTTTGTTGTTTGCATGATCATAGAGGTGTTCGAGGATGGCGTGTCTCGATGACTTTTTGTTCGACGAAGCAAACGGCGCACAGTATTTTTTACAGTCGCGGCCAAATGTGTACCACCACCGCCACCACCGCCGCCACCACCACGTTCACCGGTTTCGTTCATCACTTTGTATTCGACCATTTTTGCTCTGGTTATAGATGCAGGTACCACTTTGTGGCTACCCGTCTCCGTTACAAACATCCCAACAATGTCCACTTGCTGCAATATTACTCACTTTTTTTCTCTCAATTTTTCTTTACAA